ATGGGTGCTGTCACTGTTCTGTCCCCAGTGCTGGGACCCTCATTGGGGTGGCCCAAATCCATCCCTAATCCAGCAAAAACCTGAGGGGCAGGGACACAGCAACTCACTCATTTCCAAACCATCCCAACCCCTCATCCTGGAGACAGCCAGCAAAATGGGAACCTTGGCAAAGCACGGACCAGGATTTCATTCAAGCAGTAAGAGAGAGCAAGAGAGGGGAAAAATCCTTTCTGGATTAAATAAAAATGCTGATTTGCTGTTCTGGCTGTTTGTTTGCACTCCTGCTCCCAGCACAGCTCTTGATCCTGCCTGACTCCAAACCAGTTCCCTGGCAGGTGTTTTGTCAGCACCAGCAGGAGGATGGGGACAGCCGGGCTTGTGTCCCCTGCAGGGATGGGACATCCTGGCACACAGCCCAGGGGACAGGGATCTCCTCGCTCCCTGAGCCCCTCTCGTGTCTGGGGACAGCAGAAAGAAGAGGCTGAGGCTGCAGGTTGGGCTTCTCCACCCGGCTCCCAGCCTGGCACCGCCTGGCACAGCAGCAATTTTTCCCTCTAATGAGGTGTCAGACAACTCAATCCCTGCCTCAGCTGCTGCTGGGCATGGGAAACTCTCAGCACATCCATACCTCCAAGGTGTCTGGTGGATCTTTGTGGGGAGCTGCTGCATTCCCCACCCTGGATTCAGGAGCCTTTAGTGACCAGGAGAGCAGGGAAGCACCCACAGCCTGCTCAGGTCTGCAGGTACCTGATCCTGATCCCTGGGGCTCCAGGGACTGGGAAGGAAAGTGGGGTGACACAAACATCACCCCACTGCCAAAGCTGCCCTGGGAAGGGACAGGAGTGAGATCAGAGGAGCTGAGCTACGGGAATGCCTTTTCCTACTGGAATGCCTTTTCCTCCCATCTGGGATGACTCAGGAGTCAGCACCAGCTCTGCATGGGGAATGAACCCAGCCCTGCTCCCACACCCAGAGGTGCCTGAGAGCCCAAATCTGGGACAGAAACACCTGAGGGACTCAGGGTGGAACAACCAGCCCAGGACAAATCCCAAATCCCCCAGAGCTGTCCCCTCTCCCAGGGCAGTGCTGTTTGGAACAGAGCACAGAGATGGGGCAAGGACAGGGTTCCCCATGGCCTGTGGATCTGCAGCTCCTGTGCTCCCTCCCCTCCTGCCTCTCCTGCCTCCCCCAGCTCCAGCAGCAATGCTAATCAATGGATTTGCAAAACATGGGGATGATGATGATGATGATATTGCTGCTGAGAGCGCTCGCGGCTCCGTGCGCAGCGGAAATTCAGGATGTGGTTAAAAACTCCCTCTGCCACTCTGAGCATTGGGAATTAATCCAACTGAACTGTAACAAGTAAATACACCTCCCTCCCTCCCAAAAAAAGGTCTTTCCTTTCGTGTGGAATAAGAGTGCAATTAATATTCCTGACACACACATCGAGCATTTAAATTCCACATCCCCATCACTTACACCAAGCTCTCACCACACATCAATATCTTTAATTACTCTTCTCACCAGCAAGTGCTGAACCTAAGGAGATGGAAATATTTCCCTTATGATTTATACTCTGTTTTATTATGATCTGAGGGGTTTTAAATGCAAAAGGATAAGGGTGGGGGAAAAAAAAAGGGGAATTAAAAAGGTCTGATTTGTTTATGACTCAGGATGTTTCACTCCTGGGGGCTCCTGGAATGCAGCATTCCCATGCTGGGCTCCCAAGGTAAGCAATCAGGGCTGGTACCTGGCTGCCAGCCAGCGGTTTCCCAGCAAGGCATTTTCCATCCCTGTAAGGATGGATTCAACCCCAGTTCTTTCCTCCTGCTCTCTCTGAGCATGTTTCACTCAAGAAACTCAAGCTCTGGGTGCAGCAGCCCACAGCCCTTGGCTCAGGAGCTTCTCCCAGGCCTGATTTCCAATGAGAAGGTGGAGCCCCAGGAAAGGAAGGAGAATGAAAAGGTTTCTCACCTTGCTGGCCCCGGGGAGCAAGTGCAGCTTGACATAAGGATCAGCCAAACCATTGTGGTCCATTGGCTTCAGGCCCTGCGGAGGGAACAGCAAAAAGCAGGAATCAGGAGGGCAGGGGGATGCTGGGGGGCTCACTGAGCCCATTCTGGGGTCTGTGGAGCTGCTGTGGCTTCCCCAGGGCTGGGGTAGGAGGGGAGAGTGGATTCTGCAGGATCCAGGCTCAGCATTCCAGTCTGAGGGGCTGTGGGAAGCTCCTCACCTGCACATGGCACCATCCACCCTTCCCTCCCTCATCACCATTCACTTGGGGGTGAAAGAGAATCAGTGCAGTGATTTCCCAGCTTTGAAATTACAGGGTTCTGTCATTGAATAATTGCTTCTGAGCAAACACACACCTCTGCTGTTGTGGTGCCACTTGCAGAGGGTGTGATAGCACCTACCTACTCTTGGTTATTAAGGAAGAACAGCTCCAGGCCAGTGGGAGGCTGGTGCCAGCCAGATGCTGTGGTGCTCATAGAGTAAATTTGGGGTTGCAGGAGGAACCAATCCAAGGAAACACTCCCTGTGGCCATCCCTGATGGGTTTTCTACAAGACCCTCACAGCTCTTAGAGGATGATGTGGATCAGGTTTGTTATCAGAGAGGGCACAAGCTGTGCCTCTGTTTCTGTTCTAAACCCCCCAAAAATGATCCAGGGGTGATGCACAAACCCAGCTCAAAGCCACACCTGCAAAGACTGCATGGAAAAACAACTCCACAGGGCAGGGAAGCAAGTCAGGAGGGTGAAAAATGGAGCCTAATTTTCAGCAGCCCTGAGTAGAAATGAGAATGGCTCCGTGGTGGAAGCCCTTGGATTATTTCCAGCCTGGCTGTGGGATCCCTGCAGGAATTACTGCTGGGCTGGCTGAAGGCAGGGCTGTGCCTGGATCAGAGCAGGGCTCTCTGCAGAGGTACCACCCAATCCTGGCTCCAGGGGGATGCTGAAGAGTCCTCACAGCCTTGTTGTGAGGAGCAGAGTGCCTGGATAATGAGTGTGTGTGTGCAGCTGCCAGGATCCAGGGGCAGGGAAGCATTTGTACGGAATTCTGCGCGCAGAAGGAATGCAGCCATCCAGGATCTGGGCAAATCCAGCAGGGAAATGCTGGGGGAATCATAATCAGGTAGGGATTAACTCACCCAGCCTGACCTATAGCACCACAGGACCTTCTCTGAGCTGCAGTTTTGTCCAGGATGCTCCTGACCTTGGGAGTGTCTCTGACTTGGAGCAAGGGCTCTGCCACAGAGACAAACCTGCTGCCCTGGGGCAAGGGAGGCCAAATGGTGCCCAGCAAAGAGGATTTTGCTTCTACAGCAAAGCCAAAAGGATAAAAATATCAGCAGTGAACAGAGGTGAATCTGCTTTGAGTGCAGCCTCTGGAGTGGTGCCTCTGGGCCAGGAGATGATGGGGATGGGGCAGGCAGGGCAGGAAGGGGCTGGGCTGTCCCCAGGCTCTGCACAATCCACTGGTGCTGTCCCTGGCCAGAGGTGCCCAACCTGCCCGGGCTGCACAGCAAATGAGATCAGCACAGAGCAGGCAGATTCCCAGGAAAATGGATGGAGAATGACAGGCAGCTCTGTAATTCACCCATCAATTCAGCTCAATTAAATTACCTTCTGAGGAGGCTATTAAAGGCTTTTTTAATAGATGTGCTATGGAAGATGGAGTGACAGGAGCCTGGAAAATGGCTCCTAATGTCACGTCTACCTCCCTCCCGTGTCACTGGATACGTGTTTGGCACAAACAGCTGAATTTAGCAGGGCTCTGCTTTGCAAGGGTCCCTCCCACAAAGGGAGAACCCCCTCTGGGTGCAGGGACCACCACCTGGAGCTTCAACAAGAGGGATGAGAGGCAGACAAGGCACAGAGTCACCCCCAGATCCATCTGGGGCAAATCCCTGGCTCCAACCCTTCCTGCTGCTGCTGCGCTGATTCGTGGAGCTGAGATCAAGTTTCATCTTTTCCCTTCCTCTTCCCAACCCCAAAAATCTCCGCTGCAATCCCACAGAGACCTCCAGCTCCCTGCACATGCCAGGCTCTGCCAGCTGCTCCCCGTGCCAGTGACATTTAGCTAATCAATAGGATTTAATTACAGCTCGGGCTAATCGGGGGCTGCCGATTAACGCCGCGCTAGAGGCGGCCAGAAATCGCAGGAGATGGATCCATTCCATCCCTCACCCCACAACCAGCTGCCTGCCCAAAATCCAGCCTGGCTGAGCCATCCCATTCTGGAAAAAGGGGGCAAACTGCATTTCCACCCTGCCAGCCCAGAGGAGCCCGGCAGCTGGAGGAATTTCCCTGCAGTGATGAATATTTATGAGTCAATACATAAGTAATGCTCAGTGCAGACCTCCAGCACTCACCTCGGGTGGAAGGGAGGGAGGGAGCAGCCAAATGCTCAGTGGGGTGGAAGCTCCTGGGTGTTTTCTGGTCAGATGTGCAGGGAGAGCAGCTCAAGGATGCTCCAAGGGGCAGCAGCTGCCTGGAGCATCCTTCACCATTGCCCTGCAGCCCCCTTGGGCTCATCCCAGGTATCTTTCTCCCAAAAGCAGGAGAGCACTGATGTTGTAGGATGGCACAGCCTGCTGTGTCTGTGCTGCTGCAGGCCCCTATAAATCCCCTATGGGCTCTATAAGACCGAGCACAAAGTGAGATCCTCAGCAAAGCCATGGCATGGCATGGCAGGGCACCAAACCAGGTGCCTGCACATTCACCAAACCCTTTTCCATCCTATTTTCCAGGAGGGGGTGATGCCCAGTACACCCCAGCCCTGTCCCACGCAGGACAGCAGAGACCCACACAATCGCAGGGATTGTCCAGGGGAGAGCCCTCCTGCCAGCCTGGCTGCTCCTGCAGTCCAGGAATGAGCTTCCACAACACCCTGATTTATTCTGCTATTGATCCGAGCTGAGCCACAGCGTGTCTGAGCTCAGCCGTGCCTGAAGTGTGACGGGCGGGGCTGCTGAGAGCCAGCGGGGCCAGGTGGTGCTGCCAGCCGGGCTGCTCCTGCTTTTCCTCCTTGTTCCTGCCTGTTCCTGGATGCTCCTGAATGCTCCTGGCTTTTCCTGGCTGCTCCTGCTTTTCCTGCCTGTTCCTCCTTGTTTCTGTCTGGTTTTGCCTGTTCCTGCCTTTTCCTGGCTTCTCCTGCCTGTTCCTCCTTGTTCCTGTCTGCTCCTGCCTGTTCCTGCCCTTTCCTCCTTGTTCCTGCCTGTTCCTGCCTTCTCCTGCCTGTTCCTCCTTGTTCCTGTCTGCTTTTGCCTGCTCCTGCCTTTTCCTGCCTCTTCCTGCCTGCTCCTGTCTGTTCATCCTTGTTCCCATCTACTTTTGCCTGTTCCTGCCTTTTCCTGGCTGCTCCTGCCTCTTCCTGCCTGCTCCTGTCTGTTCATCCTTGTTCCTATCTACTTTTGCCTGCTCCTGCCTTCTCCTGCCTGCTGCCACCTGTCTGGTGACTCCCAGAGTCTCCCAAATCCTGCTGTGAATTTACACCCCACAGAAACCTCTCAAAAAACGCCTCCCAAATATTCCCAGGCACAGAGGCAGGGTGAATCCCCACATGGAGTGAAGCCCTTGGAGCAGGGAATGGCTGGTGGAGCACCACAGGTCGGATTGAACCTGCTGGAGTGATAATGGGACTTGTGAGGAACAGAAGCAGATATAAAAGTGCTGGAGATTTTAAAAAAAAAGTAATAATACAGAGAAGTAAAATAAAGGGAGAGAGGCAGGTTGTTTGGGGTTACCAGAGAGAAAGAAAAACGTGTCTCACGTGGCTGGGATAGGTTTGAATGGCTGCTGGCAGCAATCAGAGCTCCAGGAGCTGCTGGAGCTGGGCACAGCATGTCCCTGGAGGGTGACACAGCCACCCAGGAGGGGAAATCCAAGGGTAAATCACATCCCAGCCCTGCTGAGGCTTTTCCCCCATCTCCTCCTCTGCAGCTCTGCCTGTCCCAGCCCCGGAGCCAGCGGGGTCCTGGCCCTTACCTTTCTGTAGTCAAGTTTTGGCAGCTTTCCCCAGGCGAGAGATGAAATGAGAGCGAGCAGATGGCAATGTAAATAAAAGAGAAAAATGGGAGAATGAGAGCAGAATGGAAATGAACAGGACTCGAGAGCTTGAATGTCAGGGTGGCTCTGCCCTCCCCAGGGACAGGGGTGATGCTGGGGTGCCCCAACAGCCCCGGGTGGGCACGGCAGGGACCAGGGCTCTCCTGTGCCAGCCCTGCCTGTGCCATTGCTGATGTGAGATTTATCAGTGGCTGCCCAGAGCTCTCTCCTTCCTCGCTGCCTTCCACCCACTCCAAACCCAATTAGAAATCTCCTCCTTGGCTCAGCTCCCGTGTGCGCCGAGGGAAGCCTGACCCGGCGGATCCACAGGAGACAGGGAGGGGAGCAGAGCCCAGAGTCTGCCCCAGCCCTGCCCTGCTGGCACCTGGGGGTGCTGCCCTGGCCAGGAGCAGCTCCAGGAGAGCTGGGGTAAATCCCTCCGCCCCCATCCCCAAAATCCAGCTTTGCTGCTGCTGTTCCAGCCTTGGAGAGCCGCTGAACGAGCCAAGGAGGGGGGAGAGGAGCATCCTGTGGAGGTAAATAGCATGGTCTGACCCTCTGGGGGGGCTCAGCCTCTTCTCCTGCCTTCTCCAAACCCCCATCCCTTCCCAAGATCTGCAGGGATTGAGGTGTTTCCCCCCAGCCCATCAGGAGCCCTCTCTGATGGTCACTGTGTGATGCAGAGGGGAACCCAGCAGCATCTCCCGCAGGCTGCATCAGGACCTCATCTCCCTGTTCCTGCTCCCGAATGCGCAAAAAAGCCCCTAATTGCCTCAATCACGCAGACGGCAGCACTTTGGGGCCGTGATTAGCAGCATTTAAAAGAGCCATTTATAAACCGACAGCCGGTCACAGTAAATAACAACATCGGGATGGGCTGCTGGAAAAAGCATCAGCCATCAATCCCTGCTCGTCACGGGGGATGAGCAGCCGGCTCCCGACCCTGGGAACGCCCTGAGCGGCAGGGATGGAGGGGAAGGAGAGGGCAGAGGGGTTGGGAAGGTGGTGGAACCCAGGGATGCTTGGTACAGCCATGGATGGGCTTCCCTTGGCACAGCCATGGGTCAGATTCCCTTGGCACAACCATGGTTTGGGTTCCCTGTGAGAGGAATGGCAGGTTTGTCTTTCCAAACAAGCTGTGGGTCTGCTGGTAGATAAAACCAGCACTGGGACATAAAAGAAACAATGGGAAGGGTTCCACTGATTGATGAATGGAAAAAAGAGATTTGCTTTTACGAATAAACTTTGGGGTTGCTGATAAACGAAATTAGACATTGAAAGAAACAATGGGGAAGAAAAACTCCTAAATTCTGTAAGAATTAAAAATTAAAATGGAGTGTTATACATTAGAGGGGAGTCTTTGGTATCAGGTGTTTTGGGAAGTCTGAACCTCTTGAGTACCTCAGAAATGGGGGAAGAGAGAAGAGAAATGAGGCTGGGAAATTGGGATAAAAAGGAGGCTGCATCCTCCAAAAATTCAAGAGATCCCAGGGGAATGCCCCATGGCCTCTCCCTTTATTGGAATAAAGCCAAAAGGGACTCCTCTGTCTCCTTTTTGGACATAAACCTCTGGTGTTTGTGGATTAATTTTCCTAAGACCTTGGCACAGGGATGGGTCAGGTTCCTATGGGTGGGATTCCCTTGGCACAGGGATGGGTCACGTTCCCGTGGGTCACATTCCCTTGGCACAGCCATGGGTCAGGTTGCCCATGGCACAGCTGGTCCCTGCTGTCCCCCCAGCCAGGCTGGGCCCTACCTTGGCTTTGTTGATGGTGCAGTGCAGAGCGTTGTTCTCCTGGTCGTAGAGCAAGCTGAAATCCAGCGTCCCCAGCGCGGCTGCAAGGGAGGAGAGATGTGGTTAACCTGCAAGCACGGGGCTGCTCTCCCTCTGAGCACCCAAGGAGATGCTAAAGAGCAGGCTGCAGGCATTATAAAGCACAAAGCATCCTGCTGGGAGCTCTGTTATGAAATGTGGCCGTTCCCAGGTTGGCACAGCCCTGGGAGAGGAGTGAGGATGAGTGGGTGCAGCTCTGCGGCCACAGCTTTGCTTCCATGGGCTCTCACCTGGGTTATCCCCATCCCTCAGCAGCCTGGCTGCATCCAGCAGCTCCCTGTCCCCCAGGAGATGAAGGATGTCCCCTGGGAAGATTTTGGGAATGGCTGGGACACAGCTGAGAGCTGCTGTTGGCACATCCTCCCCTCCAGTGCCGCTGGCATTCCCAGAGCGTGTATTTGTATAGCGACACCTTCAAACAAATGAGCCACCAGTGGGATCCCTTCCCAGCTCCAATCTGGCTGCAAACTGTAAATTAAACCCAGTGAGGATGGAAATACTTTCCTGGTTAAAATGAAAAACACCAACAAGCTTTTAATCAGCTCAGTGTTCCTTTATGGCATCCTCAGGATCCAGGAGTGGCAGCGTCTCCTGGGATGGGACACAGGAGCAGGACAAAACCAGAGGAGCCTCAGCAGCAAAAGCCCTTTTGATTTGAGGAATTCTTTCCCTTTGGATGATCTGAGCACGTCTCACTAATCCAAAGCCTTGAAAAGACAGGCTTTCCCAAAAACGTGGTTTAACCTTCTCCAAGGCTGCCAGGCCTGGTTTGCACACCAAAGCCTGGACATGGAGCAGCCTCTGCCCTGGCTCAGCTTTACCTGGCACCAGCCTGGAGCTTCCAGGGTGGCTCTGGACCCAGCAAACCCCACTTTTCCATGCCCACCTCCCCAAAAGAGTTTTGCCTGAGTGCTGCCCTGCCACCAAGCACCATCCCACAGCTGTTTCCAAGGTAACTGCACCTTCCTAGCGTGTTCAGAACGTGAGAAAACATCCAAAATAAAAACCAGAACAGTTTTGCTTAATATCAAAGCAGGGTTTGCTGACTGGAGAAGAGTCGGACAAACTTTATGGGAGAAAATAAAGTGCTTTTTTTTCCCCCAGCACTGATAGCAGCAAGGCACCCACGGAGTTTAAGGATATTCAGGGGACCAAAACCATCCTGCTGCAATTTCACAGTGATCTCCCAGCCCAAAGGAAAAGGAGCTACAGGTTTGCCTGTTGGCAAGAGAAAAAAAATCATTTCTCCCAAGCAAATATCTTGAGTTCAAAGCAGAGTAAATACCCAGAGAGAGCTCTGCCAGAATAATGTACCCCCCTGGTTGTGCAGCAATTTCATGGCACATTAGCTCCTGGTCTGGGCACGGCACAAATCAGAGGGGTTTTACCTGCCAGGGGAAGATGAGGGGTGAGGCCAACCCTGCTGTGCCTCGTGCTCCATCTCTGGGTCTGGCTCCAATGAGCATTTCCAGAGCAATAATTCCCAGCTAAAGCCCCGGTACACCCTGCAGCGCTCTGGGTGCTCTCAGTGCTGGGCAGCTCAAGGATGGCAGCGTGAGGAGCTGGAGGCTCCACAAACCCAGTCAGCAAAACTTCCCAAATCTGCATTTTTCACTCAAGAGCGGAAGATGAAAGCTCCGGTTTCGGAGCCTCATCATTTCCACCTGCCCTTTAATCAGCATTTCCTGCCAGCCCCACTGCTCTGCCCTCCGAGTTCAAGCTGTTATTTTATTTTTATCACAGAAGGGGGCCCGCAGTTCAGCCTGCTGCATTTGGCAATTTATAAAACAAATTAAAAAGCTTGGCAGGCAAACAAGAGCTCGGCCAGGAAACACTGACAAAGCCCCAGCCTGGCCCAGGGGCGAGGACAGCGGGGAGCCCTGCTATAAAAACCTAAAATCACCTTCAGACAGCAGCAGGAGCTTGTTCTGCAGGTGGGGACTCAGGTCCTGCCCTCAGCCCTGGCTGTCCATGAGCAAACACCCAGCAGCTCCCATTGCTCCTGGAGCCCTGCATGTCCATGAGCAAACAAACACCCAGCAGCTCCCATTGCTCCTGGAGCCCTGCATGTCCATGAGCAAACAAACACCCAGCAGCTCCCATTGTCCTGGAGCCCTGCATGTCCATGAGCAAACAAACACCCAGCAGCTCCCATTGCTCCTGGAGCTGGAGCCCTGCATCCTTGGCGATGCCCTCCCACCCTTGCTCCTGTCCTGGAGGGGTTTTCCTCTAAGCAGAGATGATTTTATGGATGGTGAGTCTCAATTCCCAAGGAAGGGTCTGCCCTTGGATAGAGGGACGTGGAAACATCAGCACAATGCGTGCTAACTGCTTAAAATGTGGCTGCTTGATAAAGGGGAGGAGGAAGTTTGCCAAGAAGGGGTTTGGCAGCCAAGGTGCTGCTGTGGAGCTGGAGGTGAGCACTGCCACCAGATGCCCAGGGCTCATGGGACATGTTCAGGACAGGGTGACAGCCCCAAACCCTCTGGCACATCCTGGGAATGCACAGCCAGGGATGGACCCAGCACAGACAGAGCTGCAGCTCCAGCTCAGGGCTGAGGAGCTGCAGGACACCTCCAGCTGCACCAGGGGTAGCAGCCACCCCTGCACCCCACAGGAGCACCCAGTGAAGCCCCATCCCAGCCCTGTGCTCCTGCAGGGCTCAGCACAAACCACCAGCACCAGCCCAGCCCTGTCCCACTGCTCCCGCTCCCAGCAGCACATCCAGCCCTGGCTCTGGGAATCCTGCATCCCCAGCAGGCAGGATCGGGCCCAAAACCTCTGCAGAGCAACCTAATCCCCCTCCTTTAATTGCTTTCCCCCTCCCATTCAAGATGCAGCTCGATTGTGATCTTAATTAGGGGAGCAAGTACCTAAAAAAGAAAAGGGCAGCAATTAGACTCAAAGCACTGCTACCAGGATTATTTAACTCGACTGGGCTATTCTGAACACTGCCCTCTAATCACAGAGGCTGCAAATAAAAAATATAAATAAATGCCTTTGTCAGGCTTTACAAAGGCAGCTTGGCGCTCTCCAGACAGCAGGCAGGATGTATCATTATTATTACAATTATTCTGCTCCAATGATAAAATAACCATTAGGAAAACCGAACTCATTAGCAGGTTCTGACCCTCTTTCCTCCCCACGAGCTGGGAGAGATTGATGGGAAGGCTCTGGCCAGGGCTTGCCTCTTAACACAGCCTCTAAAAGGAAAAATAGATCCCACTTGCACAGCAAGGTGGCCTCTTCTCCCATTGACCTTTGGGGAAAAAAACCCACTTTTGGGTGTTTTGATTAATTCAGGGGGCCAGGGGGTGATTGGGTGGCAGCAGGAGCAGCAGATGTGTCCCCAAGTCAGCAGGAATTTGTTGTTTATTGCTGACATTTCCTGGCTGAGCCCAGGGTGAGGCCAGGCTGAAGGAGCTTCTATTTATACCTGTGGGATGAGAGGCAAAAAAAATGTGGTGATGGATCTGAGCTCTGCTCCCTTGCCCAGCCCCTGCCCTTGGTGGCAGAGCCGCCCTCTCCATAGCCTGGGATGCTCCAAAGAAAAGAATTTCACATCCCAAGATGTGGAAAAGCCACTGACACTCCCAGAAAAAGCTTCAGCAAAGCCTGGAGGTGATGATGGAGCACACTCCTGACTCTCCCAAGGCAGGTGTGACTGCCTTAGAGAGCCCAGCAGAGCTCCGCAGCAGGAGAAGTTGAGGTGTGCACACAAAAACCCCACTATAGAACTAATTAAAAAGGAGTCCAAAAAGCCTTAAGTCCCTCTGCTTATCAGCATTGCTGCTCCCAAGATAATCTGCTCACGGATTTTGTGCCAGGGAGATCAGAGTGGAGCAGTAAAAAGACTGCTGGGGATTGTCTGGATTAGCTCTCCCTTACAGAAAGCACAGGTTCAGTAACCTTCAGACTGGGTATTTTTTAATGCACTATAAAAGATAGGTCCCTATTCTTCCATTGCTTTAATTTTCCCTTGCAATGGAGATAATTTTAAAGGTCCTGAAAGGCAGCAAGTAATTCTGTGCTCTTACAGCCCCATATAAAATGTTGGCAAATGACTCCTCAGGAGGAACAGAAATTATCACCTCCTGCCATTTCCAAGCCTGGCTGCTGAAGAACATTTTGGTGGGTGTGCTCCTGCCCTCCTGGCATCCTGAGCACATTCAGTGGCACACGATGGGGACTTGAGGACTGGCTCCATGAGCCTGGAAAACCTTCAGGATTCTCCTGGAAAACCTTCAGGATTCTCCTGGAAAACAGCACCATCAATTCCTGCAGCTGGGGCTGAGCTCCCTCAGCATTCCACCTGGGCACTGACCCACTCAGGATGCTGCTGGGCAGTCAGGGATGGATCCCAGAGGAGCTGGGCACAGCCAGGTGTCCCTGGGGGCAGCACTGACCTCTGGCATGGAGCTCCAGCCTTGGCATTGCCACAGGATCCGCTGTGGTGGAGGCAGCTGGAGCAGGGCACGACTGAAATCTGCCATCACCATCAGCCATGCCATGAAAGCAGATCCTCTGGGAGGTTCTGGGGCACGTCCCAGGGGCAGCACAGCACATTGGGGCATGAACATCCCCGTCAGCACCACAGGAATCAAGAGATCACAGTCTCCAGCTACGTCAGGGAAGGTACAAGTTGGATATTAGGAAAAAAATTTTTCACTGAAAGAATATTAAAGGATAATAAAGAATAATAAAGAATAATAAAGAATAATAAAGTACTGGAATGCTCTTCCCTTCTTCAGGGAGGTGGTAGAATCACCATCTCTGGATGTTTAAAAAAAGCCTGGCCATGGCACTTGGTGCTGTAGTCTAGATGAGGTGTTAGGGCACAGGTTGATCTTAGAGGTCTCTTCCAAGCTCATCACTCTGTGATTCTGTGACTCTGATGTGCTGCCAGCAGGGCAGGACATTCCCAAATCTACAAACAACCCCAGCAGGGAGCAGATCCAGCACACAGGAGGAGACCTTCCCTCCTCAGCTGAACTCAGTGGGA